AGAAAACCAATATCAAATTGCACAATTTGAAGATGGTATGCAATGACTTCTTATTTTCATGTTTCAGATCAGGAAAAGATGATGTTTTGCAAGCCAGGGTCTTTCATAAAAGTAGTGTCTCTACCCCTTGGAAAGAGGCAAGATTTGCGTACATCCTACCCCTAGACAGCACCTTCGCATAGGATTTTTTTTTTTGAAGGATATAATATTTGTATACGGCAAATGCAACAAATAAACTCACACACTCTCCTGACCTTTGGTGGGATTTGAACCATAGACCTCCTAGGAGGCCAAAGACTCGGATACCGTTAGCCCAAAGGCCCTTTAGTCCCTTGCATAGGGTTTACTGAGTTAGTTTGGTTAGATTAGGAGAAGATGAAGAAATTGTACCTGATTTTTACAACTTTTAGGTGAATCACAGTAGAACTGATCAATTATGATGGGGTTGGCTACATTATCCATTTTCACATTCTGGTAGCGTACGCCTTTAACATACCCGGATCCACCCTGCGCCAAAAAAAGGATTGAAGTCAAACAATCAAGTTTTTGAAAATTTCATTATAAAAGCAGATAAGAGAAGTTCGGTCATGGCAGATAGGCTAATATTTAAGAGGAAAGTGCAACGCCTGCTACCGGACTATTGTGTATCTATACCACTTGTCACTCGAGAAATTATCTCTCACGTTCAGTTACAATCCCCAGACCTGACCCACTGGTGAAAGATACTAGGATAGTTTGGTTTAGTTACTGAAATATTCTTCTGCATACAAATGACAAACAGCTTGATGGTTTTCTTAATTAAACCTGTTGAGTTGGTCATGTACTTTAAGAGCATCTGCAAGAGGTGTGCTATATTTTCTCTCTCTTCTTCCAAAATTTGGAGATTTCTTGTCTCTCTCCTATTTTTCTCTATTTTAGAGTAGGGTTTAACATAGTTGTTGGAACAAACTTTTTCCAAATCTCCAATATTTCTAAGTAGCTTAGCTGCTGGAGATACTATAAAGGGGCAAAAGGGTAATCTTCCTTCATCTCCATCCTTTTCAAATAAAAGATCCAAAAATTTGCATCCGAAAGAAGAAACTGAAAATGAAATCAAATCAACCCAAAAACAAATCTAAGGAACTCAACAATCATAAAATTGAAACCTAAACTGGTTTTCGATATTCAAACTTGGAATCCAATTTGAATACAAACCATGAAGCCAGATTAGGAAAACGTTACTCAAATTTTAAAGCCGGAGTTGATTTCTAGAGTGCCAAAAGTGGTATATAGATACAATAGTCCTCCACCTTGTACTTTACTCGATCTTCAAAGCCTTAATCTTTGGGGGTCGACATAGAAAAGTGGAAAAAAGATTTGCAAGAAGAAAACAATAGTTTTGTCGAAAAATAAATTGTATGTATGTATGAGTCAGTAGAGAAAATAAGGGGTTGTTTGTTTACCTCTTAATAGTTCCATTAAGAGGCAATTTCTGAATCGGTAAGAGGTGAATCTTGTTTGGCAAAAAAAAAAGTCTACCTCTTAATGGTTCTAAAACCCTTTGAATGATTTTGTATTTCGGGTCTCCCTTAACCATTAAGAGCCCTAATTTCATTATAAATAATTACCAAACAATTATATTTCATTTTGCACTATATTATGAGAGCCTCTTAATCATTCTGACCACTTAATAATTTTGCACAAAACCATTCAACAACTGTCAAACAGCCCCTAAGTGGTATAACCATTCAGTGGCCCACTAAGGGGCTGTTTGGTTGTTTTTTCACTTAGTCATGTATGAGTAAAGTTGTCTGTTTGGATTAATTTGTTTGTATAGATTGAGAAGGTTTTTGTTTGGAGATCTTTTTCATGGATGGAATGAGGGTGTTTTATAATTGGGAGGAGCATGTTTGAATTTTCTTTGGCTTTCTGCATAAAGCTCCTCCCTAGAAGCTTACTAAATAAGCCACTTTCTATATCATTAAGCCACTACCTAAGATTTAACAGCCAAACAAGTGAACAACCAGCCCAAAAAGTGTTATCTTCAGGGTCACTGGAGATTTTCTTGACTGTTATCTTCAAGGACCCATGGGATTAGTCCATATGTCCAAGATGGCCCGGACACCCACAGTTACCAAAAAGAAGTATGTTTGTGGTTTGAGAAATAGCAATACCTGCCATGTCTTAATTCTGAGGCCATTAGAAGTGCCTTTAAGGAAAGCTGTATCCAGGACTATTTTTGAGACTATGCCTGTAGAGTTATCCTTGCCAAGGCTTCCTATGCTGCAAAGAACAAAATCTTTAGGGGAAGCATTCCCTGCTTGTTTATTCATCAATGAATGAATATCAAAAATCTGTTAATCAAACACACCTGATTCCATGACCTGGCCCACAATATATATTCTTCATCTTGATATTTGAGCTAGCATTCACAATTGAGACACAGTCATCACCTAAACAACACGTCGGAAAATAGATAAAGGTTTAGTTTAGTAATTGATCAGTTGATCCCTCTGGCTCGGGTCCTAAAAGATGAGTCTACATTTGACTTTTGTGGTCAAACACTATATTATTAAGTGTAAGAATTCATATATAGTTCATCTATCCCATGAAATTTGCAGCATTTGAAGGTACATAGCCTGATTTAAGTGTCTGACTATTAGTCAAATGACTTAAAGTTCCATCAATGAGAAAACTGGGGAATCTTGTGAACCCATATTGATATTATTGATTTTTGGTAACGTTACCACAGGAAAGTAGGTAATTGTGGTTTAAAAAGTAGCCAAAAAGTGAAATTTTGCAATTTAGTGAAGCATGTGTGTGTATATTAGAACTTCAAATACGAGAAAAAGTTTGAAAACCTGTTCCAATTTTGCTGTTTTGAATAACAACATTTGTTGATCCGGTAAGATGGATTCCGTCGGTGTTTGGACTGTCTTCAGGAGCAGAAACAACAACACTATAGATGCGCACAGACTCACACCGTGAGATAACAAAATGCATCTGTTGGCTGTTCTGGAAGGTAAGACCTTTCACCTTTATAGCTGAACTTTGATCAATTGTGAATGCCTGCATAAATCCTTCTATGTTAGAAGTTCATTCAAATTGTTCAAAAACTAGATTTACATTCTTACCGTTGGCGCTCCTACGCACGGCTGTAAAAAACATGAAAAAGGTCAATAACTTGATTATATTGGTCAACTTTGACTTATTGAACAAGAAAAGATTATACATTTGTCTTGTTTTTCTTGCAAGATGCAGCCCACCATTTCTTGCCCGACCCGTCGATAACTCCACGTCCTTGGAAAGTGGCTCCCGAAAGGTTAGAAAAGTGAAGCCAATTTCGAGGATTTTTTGGATCCCACTCCTTGGGTTCATCTGGTGCTACAATTGTTCCATCAAGCTGTATGCAATTATGTTAATCATTTACTAGAAATCTTATGCTCCCTTTGTCCTATGCAAATTGCAACATTTTCCATTTGGAGATGTCTCCATAAGATTGCAACATTTCTATATTTAGAAAGCTTTCAAGTTTCATAAAAAAATGATGATGGTACCGTTTGGGTCGAAAAGATTCCTTTATTTTTCGTCATCATTGGAGGGTACATTAGATATTTCACAAATGACCAAACAATTTATTAGAAATAAGTTTGATTTTAAAATTTACATCCTATTGTTTTCCATATTCAAATGAAAGAATTATTTAGCTTCTTTTATCTCCAAAATGGTTTGCTTCAATACTTCTTTAGGGGTTGCTTGGTTGGTTTTCCATTTCGTATGGATAAAGATGTTCGTGTGCATTAATCTGTCTGTAATCGGAAAGGTTTTTGTTTGGGAGGGTTTTCTCATAAGTCGAATGAACATGTTTTTTAATTGGGAGGGACAGGTTTTTGGAAAAAAAAATATTGGTTTTCTGCATAAAGCTCCCCCCTAGAAGCTTACTGAATAAGCTACTTTTAATATCATTAAGCCACTACCAAACAGTCATATATAGCCGACCGAATAAACGGTGAGTCCCATTAAACTCATTAGGCTGCTAACAAGCAGGCCCTTAGTTCAACGTGGTAATCAGATGTTCACCCGAGAACAATTCTTGTCAATCTAGATGTTAAACAGTAAATTAGCAATATAGGAGGTTACCTGAATAATCAACTTTCCAGCACATGGTCCTTTAAATCTTGTTGCATTAACCAGATAAGTCCGACCAGGAGGAACCAAAAGCACGGATTTTGCTGTAGAGCAAGCTTGTGTCCATGCATTTTGAACGGCCTGAGACGTAACATAGTGAAATATATACAGTAACTTGTCTCAGTAAAAAAGTTAAAAATGATAATCCAATAAGTTTGATTAGTAGCATCAGATATATCCACATATTCACCTTTGTATCATCGGTAACTCCATCTCCAGCTGCACCAAAGGTATCCACATTTACGAGAATCTTGCTCCCATGTTGACTTGACCATGATGGCAAGTCCGAGAACTCTATTTCATCATCTTCTAAGTCCAGACTTTCAAGCTCACCAAATATATCAAAGGTGTCAGATAAACTGTTTTCAGCAGTTCCATTAACCAATAGCAACATAACAAGAATAGAAATAAAGACGATTTTGCCCATGATTTACGGGGTTTTTTTAGTTTCAGAAAACTGCTAGATTTGTGTAAATCAAAGGAAGACATGGGATATTAATTTATATGTATAGATTAGTGCTACAAATGAAGTCCTTTGTGGGTATAGTGTACCTGGCTTGGCTTAAAAGTACATGAATGTGCAAGATTTTCTTCATGCCCAACACTTCAAGTATTTTCTAAGAAACCTTTGCTTTACTCTTCAAACAGTTTTTCTAGTGCAGCACTACCTTTCAGAAGTTCAAAAGTGTCTTTTGTGCTCTGTCTCTGTGGCCCACGAGTAGCCGGCATCTTAGATTAACATCCTTCAAAGCTTCCTTTTTTAGGAAGGTCTGTAACGGTAGCGAGGGCTACTTTTAGCAACTCTTCAAGTACACCCGAGTGCCCAAACTCAGGTATTGAGATACCATCTATCCCCTTCATTAACAAAGCTCTCGTTGCTAAACCTATAAATCAAAAAAAAAATCTTTAGGCACAAGCACAACATTCACCTTATCCGTACTACAACATTATCCTAATAACTATTTTGACTAAAGCCTCTTAGGGGTCGTTTGTTAGCAGCTTAATGAGCTTAATGGAACTCACAGCTTATTCGGTCAGCTATACATGATTTTCTGATAGTGGCTTAATGATAAAAAAAGTGACTTATCCAGTAAGCCAAGTTTTTTCAAACCTGTCCCTCCCAATTACAAAACACACTCACTCCATCTATGGAAGAACTCTCCCAAACAAAACCTTCTAAATCTATACAGACATATCAATCCAAACAGACAACTTTATCCATACATGACTTAATGGAAAACCAACCAAACAGCCCCTTACTCACTGAATGCCAAACCAACCCAAACCAAACTACCCAGTATGTCCCACCCAGATATGGGGTCAGATGTGGGGTCAGAGGAGGGTGGGATGTACGCACACTTGACCTCTACTCTGAAGAGTAGAGCGGTTGTTTCCATGAAAACCCTCGGTTTATGCAACGTGTGCGAAAAGAAATGATAAGGCCTGCTCAAAATAAACTTTAGTAGAAAAAGAGGAAGGTCATGAAAAAAGAAATGCAGTGCTAAATTCGAAGAAGGGTCAGAAATAAGCAACAACATTCAAACAGACAGATAAACAAACAAAAGCAGGTGCAACAAACATAACCACAATCCATGATGCAAATGCTCCTCTTCTGCAAATCATTAAAAGAAATCAAAGAATAAACGAGGCAATATTCATGTGAAGATCAACCGCCGAACATCCAGCATACAGATTCAAACTCACAACAAGAACAAGCACCACACTGCCAACTTGGAGTCCTTGATATGACCCTGCATCCCCACATACATTAAAAATAATCAAAAATGATCTCTTGGTGATGTTCAAGATACCATTTGACTAGAGATACACTGCTGTTTCTACTTGTATCCCATATACAAGTAAATTGCATGCAAGTATGACTCGTTTGGGCATTACGTCTAACAGTTGGGTACCGAGTTAGATGATATGGTTTTGATAAGATCATGATATAGGCACAAAGATGGTCTCGAGGATTGAGTTGGTTATGGGATGGGATACTACTTTATAAGTTATTGATTGGACATTTCAAGGAAAGGCCGAAAAATTGGACATAGATTTTCCTTGGAAAAAAACTGGTGCATTTATGGGATGTTGAAAGTGGTCACCGAAACATTCAGATATATTTAACAAGATGGTAAACCCCAAAACAAGGATGACACTTCCTCTGAACTAAACAGCATGCTGCTCCTGCCTCCTAAAAGGACATGATTTTAGAGTTATCGGCCAAAATATGGTCTGGCAGCTGAAAAACTACATAATATAGAAAGTGCTTGAGAATCAAAATCATCAAAGGCAGGCACACAGTTCTCATGAAAACACCCGAATGGCGAAGCATTTCAAGAAGATGCACCAGAAAGAATCTCTGTAGCTGAGTAAGTTTCAATGCAGCACAATCCACATTCGTAATGTATAAAATGAGACACAGAGGTACGCAGAAACCGTCGGCAAGTGTTTAACTTTAACATCATTTTTATCAAAGAAAAAACAAGACAATAAATATAATCACAACAGAAAGCAGACAATGAAAAGGGAGAGACATGAAATTTCGATAAAAACATCGGTGATCAGTAATATCAACAAGTTGAGGCAATGGCCTCGAAAAGGCCACCATGAATTACATGTGTGTTTCTTTGTTGATTCTTGAAAAGGGAGGGACATGTAGAAATAGGGACTTGTGACCTTTCTGTTCAGCGAAGCAGAAAGAATGATAGTATAGATAATTGCACATGAAAGTCCCTGCATCATCGGAGATCATTGCATCATAGCACTTCATCTTCTCCAAGAACTCGAGTATGGCATCAATTGAACAAGAAGTCTTCAACAACAACAACAACAACAAAAACAAGAGAGAGGAAGTCAGTATTAGCAAGAAAGATAAAACAAACAAAAAGTCTTTATGTTGTGAAACAGAAATGAGATGGATTTTTGTTTACAGTTTATACATCAAAATATATGCTAACGGGATTTGAATACTGAAAGGTGGAACTAAGCTGAGAAAACATGAGACAGAACATGAATAACCCTCTCTTATTCGAGTAATTGCTCCATCCTCCTGGATAACTGGCCTTCGCTGTGATAAAAATAAGAAAAGATAAACAGTTGTATATCAAGGAAAAATTCGACAACAATAGAGAAGCATATCAACCTTGGGTTGCCAACCAAGCTCATCTGGACACAAGAAAGTGGCTTCATTTACTGCTCGCCGTTCAATGGTGAATTTTGATGATCCATCAATCATTCCCATATGCAGCTGGAAAAATGAAAATGTAAAGCTTGCAAGTTCCCAAAAGACAGAACATTGTATCCTTTGTATAGTGACTTTTAAGAATGTACAGCAGCACAGGAATTTCCACACCAAGAGTAATTTGAAATTCCAAACTTATCGTTCAAAAGATGATGTAAGAACTTGCACAAATACCTTACATTTGAATTCAAACTTACAATAGCAGCGGTATCTATGAAGAAGGCCAGACACATTTACAGAAATGCCTCCAAAAGAAAACAACACCATTTGACCAATTTCTTATGAAGCAATTTTCATTGGCTACATGTACAAAAATGGGGTTAAATTTGTAAGAAACTCATGTATCGTTTCATATCTTCGGGCAATTACTAATTTGCACATTTTTCCTTCACTTAAGAAAACACACTCATTAGTTTCAATAGATTTTAAACAACTATCCCCCTCCAAAACCCGTTCTTCTTCTTTTTTGGGATCTCACAAGCTAGGCACAATGTGTGAGGGGGATGTTTTCCTAATTACTAACATTTCAATTGATGGAGTATTTTAAACCTTGGACACTATGCAAGCACTCTTTGTCCAACATCACTTGTTCTTACTGAGTGTTGTGTGTGTGTGTGTGCTTCGCGACTACACAAGAATGGTGGTTTGCAATGAAAAACGAACTACGATAATTGAAAATTGAATAGCTCTTTACATTTTTCCCAATTCAAATTTGAAGAAAAAATTTGTGAAGTACTCACCCACACAACTTCTTTCGAGCCGGATATAGTGTCACTTGAAATAGCCGATTTCAACACCTTGTAAAGCATAGGAGGTGCATACTCTCCTGCAGTCTCAAGAACAGTACAACTACCTATAGAAATACCAGGGCATACACCTTTCTTTTCAATATAACCTTTTAAATTAGAGACTATAGTCTCGGTAGGGTTATTTGCAATTCCATTGAGCTTCTTGAAGCCAGTCACATGAATAATCACTCTCTTTGGTCCTTCTGATCCCATTTCCTCCTCAAGATCGCAAGCTCAACCGTCAAATCCTGACCAGTAATCCCACAAATAAGGTCGGCGCGGACAGCGAGTAGGATATCTAGGTTAATAAAAAAAAAATATCCTTCTAACATAAACCCTTGGCAAAATAAGGTCGTCTCAAGGCCTGTAATTTAAGCACACCTTGCATAATATTCAACAATCCGCAATCAGAATAAAACATCGAAAAAGCTAGAGATTGCTTCTATGCTCAGGGAGAAAAACAACCAGTTAAATTATGAAATATATGAAACCACACCAAATTCTCAAAATTAAATTTGTCCAACAAAATCCAAATGACATCAAAAATCTTGTGAAAAACGCACTGAGGCCACCATAATTCCAATGAACACGAAGATAGTGTTTTAAACACTTATATATACGCAATACAGAAACACAGAATTACATGAGGAATAAACAATCATATCAAATCACTCAATAGTATATATGTACATGCAATAATGTATAATTAAATTTAAAAGAAGTCGAAAATTTATTAAAAGAACAATTCAACCTGGAGATAGAATCACCTCAAACTCTGATGATCCACGAAATCCCTCTCCGGTGGCCGGCTTCGTAGAGAGGGAGAGACGGAGTTCATTTCCGTACACCAGCTTCAATAACCTCTTTCTATCGTCGTTGTTCATCATAGAATTCTTATTCTAGACCCTCAGTTTTCCTCTTACTACCAAATTGTCCCCTTGCGGTTTCCGTTTTGACATATTAGACCTCAAAACTTTTAACATATTCCAAGTTCATGCTTTATGGAAGATGGAAACACATACCACACAATCTTTAAAAAGTGATTACTCCACATACCAGACACTTTTCTCATATTAGGTGAAGTTTGAACATTTGACCTCTTATAAGGCCAAATATTCACATATCGTTAGGCCAAAAGGCATTTGGTTGATTTTCATGAAAACTTCTCGACTTATAAGTAACATTTAGTCGAATGTTACCTGAGATATTTGTATTACATTGTTAATTAAAATGTCTTTCTGTCCGTGTTAAAAAGGAAATAAGTTTTACAAAATAGAACATGGGTAAATGAAACAAAATTTGCTAGACATAAAACTATGTAAACAAAGGTTTGTTTGAAAAAACATGATTGAGATGTAAATGTTTAATGGGTAATTTACTAAACGCTTATCGATTAAATTCAACATTATCACTTATTTATCATCATTTATCGAGTAAGATTCTTGATCCTTACTAACGTTTGATAAACCAACCCTAAATTTTATTTAGATTTCAAGATATATCACTTCATTACATGTTAATTGTTTTGTTTGTTAAAATGCCTTCAAAACTCCCATAAAATATGTTTGATTAGACATTTTTTCTATTATTATTTTATTGTGGAATCATTTACTCATTCTATATCTTAAGGTGACTTTTGATTCATCATCATTCCACCACAATGGTTGTCACAGCAGCCGCCATCATCACCGTCACCATTATCGCCGCCGCCACCGTCGTCTTCATCCCCACCACCACCATCACCAACACTATCACCACCACCAATGTCACGCCGCCGCCGTTGTTACCGGTGTCACTTTCACCCCATCAGTACTATCGCCTTCATCCATCCCACGCCGTCGTCACTTACAATAGTCATCGCTACCGCCACCATTATTACTATCGACACCACTATCGCCTCCACCCCCACCGCTATTATATTCAAATAACCAAAAGTACAAATTCAAATTCTTTTGACATATTTCATTACAATTCTTGTTAACCAAACGTACGATCAAACCTGATCAAGTTTCATTTCAATTCTTTCATATTTAAATTCCAATAGACTATAGAACCAAACGTCACTAGAGTATAAGTGTTGACTCACAACAAAACTATAAGTAGCACTTCTTAAACCATCCATTTATTTAAGCATGGAACTTTAAAAAGTTGAATGCGTCGGTTTGGTTGTTTGGCCCCTGACTTGCATGAAACACAAGGGTGGATCTATGAAGGGGGCCGAGGTTGGTTGTTTAAATTTGTTATGTTATTTACAAATAAGTCGTTTATCATGATAAATTAACTATGATAATCTTGTATAAAAATCTAAGGAGCCGTTTACCAAATACTTACTCAGTAAGCACTTAGCGATAAAATTCAACATTATCATTTACTTACTGGGTAAAAATTTAGTCAACAAAAACAGTTTTATATGCAACAATTTACCGGTAAGAGCTTATCAGGGTAAGAGTCATTGCCCTCACTTACCGTGCAAGACTTTCGGTACCTTGTCTCGTTCTTACCAAGTAAGCTTATTGGTCATTGTTATATTCATCCGGTAAGGTAATGTCGGAAAGCACTTACCCAAGTAAGTATTTGATAAACGACACCTAAATCATAATAAATAAACTTTCACCGCTTTTTAAATGGTGTGTTACGAGGGTACCGTATAACTACAAGCAACGAGGTATTTTGCATTATCGTTTGTTCTACATGCCAAGAACATTATAGTTCATTTAACTGTCAGTGATTTATGTGAGATTAGTTGTGCATCCGTAATTCCGTATGATGTAAAATCTTTATTGTAAGTCGAGAGTGAAAAATTAATGCAACTTTTCGAAAAGGAAATGCTATAATTTATGTTTGCACAAATTGGTGGTTGAATATGTATTGTTGATTTTTAGACCCAGTAAAAAAACCCAAAAAACCAGTTAATCATTTACGGGCACACATAATTGATATTTATATAGATGAGAGATCTTTTACAAATTCAATGATTATTGCAAATCATACAAATTGATTGATTGAGATATTTATATAAATGATAATAGTTTATTTATTATGATCTGAATATTTATGAAATCAAAGTTCATTTATTATGATTATTTTTTATATTATACAACAATCGAGATATTCATTAAATTAGATGAAAGGTTGAGATTGATTTATATTTTTATACTAATTATTGGGTTTGTAAATGAAACCACTTATATTGTTTACAAATTACAAACCATCATACTAGTATAAACTTTTTAAGTCAATCTCAATCGTCCATCTAGTATAACGAATATCTGGTTCAAGTGAATGTCTCGGTTGTTTCTTAATATAAAATGTTGATCTTAATAAATAATATTTCATAGAGTAAATTGTGGATTTGGTCTTGTGGTTTGATATTTTCTTTGACTAAGGTCTCTATGACATGTTTATTGTAGATGTGGTTATTGTGCATTCAATTTGTTTTGGTCATGGTCCATCAGACTAAAGTCTCCGTTAACTACGTTAAATTGAGGGTCACTTTAACCTTTTACCTTTTTTTTTTATAGAAAATAAAAATAATATTTATACGCACACATGTAATGACATCAAAATAAATAAAAATAAGATATTATTTTATAATTTGATTAGTTTAAATTAAAAAACGATTTAATTCTATTGTTTTAGTATTTTTGCCTATTTCGGTATGAAAACCATATTGAAGTTTATGTAGAAATTTGTTCAATTTTAAGTTATAAAGATGATAGTATGCATGAATCTTTCATTTAGTTAAAAGCTAAATAGTTGGTTTTGAGTTTTTTGAATGAAAAACAATATAAAAACCGAAATGTTACTTTTAGGATGATGAAATCGGAGTTCATTTCTTAGTGGTTTTCAATGATTTTGGTGTTAAGATATCGATAATAAGTTGTTTATTCCAATGGTAGAAAAAGAACAATAAAATTAAATCGTCTTTAACATAATTTTTTTTTAATTTAAACAAATCAAATCATAAAATCACATTTTATTTTATTCACCCTAAATAAAATAAGACATGGTTGATGATTTGATTTGTTCAAATTAAAATTTTAATTACATTAAAGCATTAAAATTTATTTTATTTACCATTACAATAAAACAATAAAATTAAATCATATTTAATATAATTAATTTTTTAATTAAAGCAAATCAAATAATAAAATAATATCTTACTTTATTTATTTTAGTATTATATATATTCATGTATAAAATTTTTGTTTTTTTCTTATAGAAAAAAAATGACAAAAAATTAAAATGACATTTGATTTAACAGAGTTAATAGAGACGTTAGTAAGAAAAACCATGACTAAAACAAATTGAATATCACAAGTATCGAATTCACAATAAACATACTATAAGGACCCTAGTAAAAAAACATCAAACCACAAAGACTGAATCCACAATTCATTCTATTTCATAAATATTCAAATCATAATAAACAAACACTCAAAGTTTCCATAAATATATTAATTAGTTGGTTTATATGATTTGTATTAATCTTATTTCATTGTAATTTTTAACTAAATATCTTGACTCATCATTTTTAATTAGGAAAATTGAAAGTAATAATTATTTTTAGGGATCAAATTCATTACCATCTCTAATCAGACATTTCCAAAATACCACTATTTACACAAGTGACACTTTTATGATTTACGGAAAAGCTAAAAAACAAAAAAAACTATTTTTGAACTTTGTTCCGTATGTGGCACATTTGCAAGTGGGACAAAGGTGAGGGGCTGTTTGTTTCCCTCTTAATGGTGACATTAAGAGGGAACCTCTTAATCGGTCAGAGGTTTGGGCTGTTTGGCAAAAAAAAAAGAACCTCTTAATGGTTACATAAGGCTCTTAATCATTTTGCATCTACTACATCACTCAACCATTCAGATGACAATTCTTCCCACTTTGCCCTTTACCTGCTCCTTTTACCAGATGCGTCTCCATCTTCTCCAGCTCGTCTCCTTCCCTCCCTCACCCTCCCTCCCTCCCAGCGGTCTTCTCCCACGAGGATAATCCAGCCTTCTCCTCCCCCCACCGACAGCCTCTCCATCTTTTTCTCTGGTTGTCTCCCCCTCCATGGTCGCCGTCTTCCCCCCCTCCTTCGTCGGTTCCATGGTCGCCGTCTTCCCCCTCCTTCGTCGGTTCCATGGTCGCCGTCTTCCCCCTCCTTCGTCGGTTCCATGGTCGCCGTCTTCCCTCTCAGGTCATCGATTTTGTGATTCAGATATAAACCCTAATGATTTTGTGCCTTCAACTTCGAAGCCTCCAAAGTAGTTTGCTAGATTTGCCCTAATTTTAGTGCTGGTTTTCAGTTTGTAGTTTGCTTGATTTGCCCTAATTTTACTGTTTTACTGATTTTGAGGTTTTGCCCTTGTCAGGGTTAAAATGGTAATTTATTATCATTCAGAGAACATTTATCAAACAACATTATTTCATTCAGCACTCAACCATTCTGACCCTCTCAACCATTCTGACCTCTTAACTATTATGTACTAAATCATTCAGCAACTGCCAAACAGCCCCTGAATGTCTTTTAACTCATTTGTAATTACAAAAATGCCATTTAATATTTTTGAAAATTCCATATCTCTGTTTTAATTAATTCCATTTTAATTATCTATGTTTAATAATTTTAAATTCTTTTAATATTTAAATATGGAAATAAAATATATAAAAATATTACTATTGGAGATTTTGGAGGGATTTCATGCGCCGGTCTCGAGATTATCTCAAAATGCAGGCAGCCCCAAGTTTCCTGCAACTTTTCTAGCTTGTTGGAGAAGTTACCCTAGAAATCGGTTTTGATCGGTGCTTTCATTCCGATAAGATATTTGGTACATTGTAGGAATCAAGTTTCTAATTCGTAGATTGTAGTTTGTGCTTTAATATCACGCAAAGGATTTGCAGTTTCATCTTGGTTATCGAGTATTAGGTTTAGTTTTGAACTGTGCATATATTTGTTGTTGAAATCGAGGAGTTTTGGATCGATTTACTTGAAATGGCGTCGTGTACTCTTCATATAACCAAGAAGGAAATGCTTAAATGCCAGGAATCGGAAATTTTTTTTCACAAATGTTTCGTACTATGCATGGCACACCTGTATCATACAACTAAAATAATGTATTATGAGAAGCATTTCCATGATACTTGTGTGGAGTTCTGGATTTTGGTGGATTTATTAACATTATATATGTTGATTGAATGGATTTGTGTGATGTAATGGTGGTATTAGGCACTGATGACTGATTTGCAAGGCTGATCTGTGCATTGATTACTTATATCATACATATGGGGTTATTTCATCTTCGATCTTAGATTTGATGGATTAACTGATGGAATTTTCATGTAATGTTGTTAAATAGGAATTTATTGGTTCATAAATAGTGATTCATTTAGTATTCGTTTTGATATATTCTATAATTGTTCCTTTTACAGAACATTATTTGATGTAGAGTGGGATATCCTGTAACTTCTGGACAAATGGTAAGTCGATTACGTTGATTTGCTCTTGTATGATTATATTCAAACATTTTCTGAGATAAAGATGGGACCCACACAACAGAAAATGGTATAAACTAACCGACATTAGAAATTTCAACATAAGTAAATCAGATTTTGAGAACAGCTGTGAGATCATTCTCACGTTTTAGTTGCTCAATCTGTTGGTTACTTGTGTAATTAGGTTTTTTTCTCTTTTCCTTTTGAATGGCCAAATATAGATACAAAGCGTTAGTAACAAGTCTTGAACCATGACGACCAATTCAAGAAAGTTAATTAGTAACAGTTGGGTTAAAGGCGACCGGCTCCTATAATGGAAGTTACTTGAGTATGCTTCATAAAGTCTCACTGCTTGCAGTCGGCAGTTCTCATTGGTAATCTATATATGTGTGTCATGCTCAAAGAATTTGATTTCAACCATTTTCATTTTAGAACATGTATATTTGATTGCAATTGTATAGTATGTTTGTGTCTTCTAAAGGATTTATGTTTATGCAGGATGGCGATTCTTCTCATGAAGGAAGCGACAACATTGATTGGAATACTGACGATGAGCTGGAGATAGCTAATATTTCGCCATCTTCCCCAGTTTCTACGAGTACTAATGGAGCTGTTATATCTGAATTCGGGGAGGTAGTACATAATTGCACACAAATAATAGCAGACTATCCCACACCGGGTATGATTGTGATCTATGAGCCCCTTATAAGCGATGGTAGTAAAGTTTATTCTTTCCCGTGGTTTTAATCAATTTAGAGGATATCTTGGTCACTCTGCTACAAGGCTTTTGGCTTTGGAATTAGCATTGGAGAAGTGGCTCCTCGAGATGTGATTGGTTGGACCCATGATCTCAGACGGTACTGAGTTTGTATTTAGTATGGGCGGGAACTCCAGGTATTTCAGGGGGTACTTTGTAATATCCTGTTTGACATTAGTTGTGATTGCAAAAGCCCCTTTTAAGCCTCGTAGCATCTTACAAATACCTCCTACCATGGTACATTTATATACACTTACATGTATCTCATGTGGTGAGTTGGTGACACAATGTTAATACCAAGATCATAGTGTCTTTTAGGTTCGTACATCCCATTGCAAGATGTGAACTCTGAAATGGCTTTTAGTTGTTATTTGCATAATGTGATCAAGTAGAACTGTAGACTATGTTGGTATTTGGTCTAGGATAAACAACAAATAGAATATCATACATCTATCTATTGTGTTCGGGTCTCTTGTATCTCATTGAGTGGCATGGGGTACCTTCCACTGGAAGTTGGTGGTCATTAGATTATGGGTTTTCTGCAAACTTAACTTTGTTTTCCTTTATTTGGTGGATGCAGTCAAGTTCTAGCAAATGTCCCTCCAAGCTTCAGTTTATGACGATGGGATTTCCTGAAGCAATGGTGACTAAAGTCATAGCGGAACTTGGTAATAATGTAGTTTTACTCTCTATGCTAACATGTTTTTCCCTTCATATTATCATATACAAGATGTCTTTTATTACCAGGAGAAGACAATACTGATGCCATAGTAGATACGTTACTTACATATTCTGTAAGTTCTCATGCTTTTTTGCCATCTGGTTACATAATTATGTTCTAGGAGAAATTCTGCTCCTATATATATATATATATATATATATATATATATATATATAATATTATATAGAGGACCTTCACTTGAGATGCTTCTAATTCGTGAGATCCATTCTAGTACACAAATTATATTTAATTAAAGGTTAATATAGAAACATTGTATTTCTCTCTCTCATCTCTCCTATATTATCTCTTCTCTCTCCTCTCCATGCTCTCTCCACTGAAAAATAAATCATACTTATAGGACCCACATAATAATAAGTTTTGGTGTCTGCACAATGTGATAATTACATTCACATTACAAATACACTTAGTTGGTGTGCACATTGTGACACGTTTGGTTCACTATGTGAAAGTATCACAATGTGCAGATACACCTAACAATATTGATCTTATTGTTTTAGTGGGTTCACAATGTGATTGCAATATGTCCATTATTTGAAACTTTATTATTTTAGTGGGTTCACAACATGATTGCAATATATTCATTATTTGAAACTTTTTTATTGTTTTAGTGTGTTCACACTGTGATTCAGTATATTCATCGTTTGAAATCTTGTTGTTTTAGTTTGTATCTAGCTTCTTGCTGGATTCGCTTCTGTTTTGTTTAATATTAGTGGTTGGCTTGGTTGAGGGTGATGGCCTTGCCGAAGCTCTCTTCCTTGCCCTTCCTTTTGCCTTTAAAAATAAAATAAAATATTTAGATCGATAGTTTGGGTGAAAACGAAATGGATGTGGTAAGTGAAAAAAAGGGAGGTTACAATTTAGACGGATAGAGAGTGACATATATATGTGTATATATATATATATATATATATATATAATAACAATTGACTTTCCTAAAATAATGGTTTGATTAGTTGTCATTAATAGTTACATTACTAAATTAACATTTTATAGTTAATTAATAAATCAAATTAATTAAGCCAAATGAGTGGACTAAAATAGATCTTACGGATCTCACAGTTCCTCGAGTTCTCAAATGATTGAGCCTCCCTCTCTATATATTTATATATATAGGGGGGACTTCTTTTGAGAACCTATAAAATTGTGATAACTTTGAGAACTTGTGCATAATGTGTTATTTCATATGATTTTTTTCCATCTAAGATATGATTTAGAACATTGATTAACATATATTTGTTTCACATGTACTCGGTTTACAATGTGAACACTTTTTATGTGTTTGTGAAATAGAAAATACATGTAAAAAAGTTTCACATTGTGAACCGAATACATATGAAACAAACACATTGTGAAACAAATATATGTTAATCAATACATTAAATACTATATTTCGACGGAGAAAAATCATGTTAAACAAAACTTTAAGGTGGAAGTTTTTCATGGATGTCACAAATTTTGGAGTTCTTAAATGATTAAGCCCCTATATATTTATATGTATATATCTATATGTATATATATATCTGTCTGGTTTGAACATATTCTATCAAAGAAATGCATTGTTTCTAATTGAAGATGTTACAGGTTGTTGATGAGACCCCTAACCAAGAACGTGAACTCAATGATCCATACCTGAAGTCTGAAAGCCATCCTGAGAGCAAATTCTCAGATCTTGATAGCATTTGGAGTGATGTAAGTCCTGCTTCGTCTTGTGTATAACTTAAAAAGTAAATTTATCTGCAGACATTTAAAATGGATTATATTTTGTCTTCCTTTCTTTCACATATGAGCGAAAAGCTTAGCTCCTATACTTCTAGTTTCATTTTATGGGTCCCATTTGAATAGTGTGAGAATAATAATGAAGATGGGTCAAGAAAATGGACAATAGAGGACAATGGTATATAGGAATAGATGTTACCTTTTGTTTTAACATAATGCAGCATCCTTGAAATAGTTGAGGGTATGATCCTTCACCGTTTCTTTGGTTCTTTCATAATTTTGATTATCGCCTCACTTCTCCTAATCTTTATATATTGCTTGCGTAACTTTTGCTCTACAGGTACTTTATTTTTCCTGCTTGACTTTTATTTTTTGCATTAGTTTTGTTTAAATGTTTTAATCGCCATTAAATTTATTTTTCTCAGAAGACAAAGTATATTTTCTCACTAATTTTCTCCGTATTTTCCAGGAAGACAGTGATGAATCTTTTGAAAAGGATGATCCATTGGTGTGTCTTATCGATATGGGGTACTCACCTGAAGAAGCTTCTGCTGCTATTAGCAGATGTGGTGCGTATTTGGCCTTCTCGAAACCTATGAGTACAATAGACTGGGATTGCATGCATGTGTGTAACATCCTAGGCTAACCGTACCAAATATTGTCCACTTTGTCCACACCCGGACTCATGGTTTTAAAACGTGTCTGATAGAGGAGGTATCCAATTCCTTATAGGGCAACCTTTGTTCCTCTCCCCAACCGATATAGAATCTTACAATGTGTTTTTACCATCATAGACTGGGATTTACTTGGCCTTCTCTAAACCTATGAGTACAATATGGTTGTATTTCCTTACACCGTTTCTTCCATTCTTCATTCTCCATTTCGAGGACCAATCTTCTTTTTCACATTGTAACAACGTGATCATGAGATGAGATGTCTTCAAATTTATAGGAAAAAATGCACCATTATCGGAGCTAGTAGATTTCATCAGTGCTGCTAATGTATCTAAAGAATATGATGCGGAAATGAACGCCAATGTACTTGGATCGTGCTCACATCTATTGGTTTGTAGATTCATCTAGTATTATACTTCTATTCCATCAGTTGCATGCTTCTCCCCCTATGTGTTATTTAGATAAATTCATATATGTTTTTAGGCATTCTTGTATAAGGAAGTGGCATTATTCTATTAAGCTATGGATTTAAAAAAACTGTCAAAAAGTTGTTTAACCGACCCCTCCCCCTACCCACTCCACGGGTTATTTAGGAGGGTAATTTTTTTGACACAGTTTTATTAAATGCACAACTTTTTGACAGATTAACAAAGTTTTTTTGTTAGAAAATGCATTATTCTGTTAAGAGGAGTTATTAAATCTGTCAAAGGGTTATTTTCTCACTCTACCACCCTCTGTGTTGGCTACAACTATTTTTTGTCTATGGACAGCCAAAGGACAAGAAGAGGAAGTTTCAAAAAGACAACTTTTGGAGTAAAAACAAGAAGTTTGACAGAAAAAATGAGAGCAAAAGTAAGGATGAAGATCACGAAGTCCTTCACCTTCCTAATCCAATGGTGGGATTTGGGGTTCCTCGTGAACCATTTCACGTGGTTCGCAGAACGCTTCCAGAGGCAGCCATTGGCCCCCCGTTTTTCTACTACGAGAATGTTGCTCTTACGCCAAAAGGGGCCTGGAATAGAATCAAGAGTTTTCTTTATGAGATAGATCCTGAGTTTGTGGATTCAAAATTCTTCTGTGCTGCAGCTAGAAAACGGGGTTATATTCATAACCTTCCTTTAGAAAATAGATTCCCTATTCAACCACTACCTCCGCTCACAATCTTTGAAGCACTTCCCGGAACTAAAAAATGGTGGCCATCATGGGACAAGAGAGAACAATTGAATTGCATACTGACCTGTATAGGAAGTGCCCAACTTACAGATAGGATCAGATTGGCCCTTGAGAATTCCAACACCGAGCCTTCTTTACATGTCAAGAACTACATTATTGGCCAATGCAGGAAATGGAACATGGTGTGGACAGGAAAGACCAGAGTCGCACCCCTCGAACCTGATGAGATAGAGTTGATAATGGGGTACCCAATCTACCATACAAGAGGTGCAAGCAGAGTTGAAAGATACAAAGGCCTCGGCAATGCATTTCAGGTTGGAACCTTAAAACCACCCACATTTTATTTCTTCAATAGGTATTACCACTTAAAGGCTGGGCTACACATCTTTCAAGCTAAATGCTTGATAGTAATACGTTGGAAACCCCTAATCTTCTCTAGGGAATCCAACACCTAGTGATTTACATTTTACACCTTATCTTCTATACTTTCGGTGGAAAAACCAGCCGAGTCTTCCAGCAGGAGTTCCACATTCTGGAGGTTCGGGGGAAAACCCCCCAAAAATGGAAATTTGATGAACACAAAAATTGGGAGCAATATAATCCTTATGTAAAGGCCATTCTATGGTAACCATTCATCTGGACGGTATGCACATGTGCATACAAGTAATTGAAGTTGTTTCTTGGTTTTTATGCACGTGTGCATGCCGGACAAACTGCTTACAAATTACTTGTATGCACATGTGCATACCGTCCACCGTCCGGATGAATAGTTACCAGAGTATTCTTCAGTTTTTCAAAAAAAAATTCCGGTTTTCCCTGAACTTGACCTGATCCCTGGACAGTAATATGATTGGTTTCCACATATCTCGCATAGTATTAGAGCCGATGTCTACCTTTGGGACATATGTTCCCATCTAGCCACCATTGGAGGGGACATGGTAGAGTCCCATATCGACTAGACTTGGATATTTCTGCTTCAATATATGTTGGAACTATGGAATATGTGGAACTCCATTAGATTACTCTCCAAAAGAGCCCTTGAAGAGAGAAGAGAGGTTCCAAGATATATTTAGTAGAAATGGTTGAAGTCTAGCTGATGTGGGACTCCAACATACCCTCTTTGAAAAAGGTTAGATGGGTATTGATTGTCCCATAGTGTTCAGAGAGAGCTAAAGGGGTACATATTTCCCATAGGAACTTGACTCTGATGCCATGCGAAAATATTTGGATTCCCATTAGATTACACTTTTAGAGTCCTTGAGGAGAGAAGAGAAGTCCAATATATATATATACATACACACATAGAGAGAGAGAGATGGTCCAAGTCTAACTGATATGAGACTCCAGCATGCCTTCCCTAACAAAAGTTAGGAGGGTACAGAATGTCCCATAGTGTTCAAGGGGGCTAGACGGATACATATTGTCCCATAGTATTCAAAGGGGCTAGACGGTACAGATTGCCCAAGAGGACCTTAGCTCTGATACCGAGCGAAAATATGTGGAGCCCCATTAGATTATCCTCCCATAGAGCCTCGAGGAGAGAATTGAGGTTCTGACATATATCAAAGAGAAATGGTTAAAATCTAGCCGATATGGGATTACAACAAAACCTTCTCCTCTCTTTAAAGAGTAATTTGTTCGGGTTCCACATATCTCAAAGAAATCATCCACACTTTTGGTTTCTATTACTTCTCTAATAAGATTTACATTTACATTATGAGTTTGTCATCAGGTTGATACAGTTGCTTATCATCTGTCTGTGCTAAAGAACTTGTACCCCAACGGAATGAACATTCTTTCGCTTTTTTCCGGGATTGGTGGGGCCGAAATTGCGCTACACAAGCTCGGGATTCCACTCAATAATGTGGTCTCTGTCGAGAAATCGATGGTTTGTAGAAACATTCTTCAGGGGTGGTGGGAGCAAACCAACCAAAAGGGAAATCTGGTTCACCTGTCGGACGTGCAGGACGTCACACTCAACAAATTAAATCAGTGGATCGACTCTTTTGGCGGATTTGATCTCGTGATCGGAGGCAGCCCGTGCAACAACCTTGCTGGCGGCAATAGGAGGACCCGCGACGGCCTCGAAGGTGGGCACTCTTCTCTTTTCTTCGATTATTTTCGCATTCTCGATGGGGTGAAAAACCTTATGAAAAATAGAAGTTAGACGTAATCTTAAACGATCCTTTTGCTCGATTCGTATATCTTCATTTTTGTATAAGAAAACCCGTCATTGTATCGTTATTTTCGGGCATCGAAGACGTCAGACGGGATAATGAAATGTAAATGGTGAAACAAACGTAACCTCGTGTTACTAATATCTATTTCAGGCCAAGGCTATGGACTTTTTTGGTAGACTCAAAACAGTATATCATATTTACCAAGGTCTTTATGAGGGGCTAAACGAATCGAGTTGAGTAGCAGGTTGTTCGAGCTCGACTTGAAAAAATAGTGTATAAGGCTCGAGTTTTTACTTGAGCTTGATTAACTTTTTCAAAGTCGGGTTCGAGCTCGAGCTTGATGCTCGTTTATAAGCTCGAATTCGAGATCGATTAACTCGTTTATTTACTCTTGATAACTTTTTTATTTTGATTATTTAATTTGTAAACATATAAAAATGTTTGGCTTGAAAAGATGAATGCTCAAATGGCTCGGCTCGACTAGACTTGTAAAGTTTAATTGAGCTTTCAAACGAGTCGAGTCGAGTCGAACATTTGTGTTATGGAACTCGACTCGTTAAGTTAAGTAAGCTTTATTTTTTTTTTGAGGTCGATTCGGGTTCGATAATTATTAAACTCGAGCAGCTCGTTAAAAGCTCGACTTGTTTACACCCATAGCCTTTATTGTTGGTAAGAGATATTTAGGCAGAGCGAGTTTCAAATGCAACCTATCTTATTTGTACATTCAATGCAAACCCAATCAATTGAGATATTTATAGAAATGATTAGTTTATTTATTATGATTTCAATATTTATGGAAGATGATTAGAATTTATTAATTATGATCGACGTTTTGTGTTAGAAAACAATTAAGATGTTTATGAAACCATATATTCAGTAAATTTAATGCACGATTAAGATTGAGTTATATTAATTATACAAATGAGATAAGTTGTATAACAAACCAACTCCAAATCAACCTTAAATAAGATTTTAATTAACTAGAAGGGTACTTGCATAGTGTAATAAGATACATCTCTATTTTAATGTTTTGTATTTTTTTTGTCTCAGTCGATGTTATAATTCAGTTTTACGTGGTTTTGAGAAAACAATATTTTTTTATTATTGAATAAAGTATAAATATAAAGATATATCATAAAAAAATTGAAAAAATTTAGTGATATTAGTACCAAACTGACTATTTAAATTTTTTTTTTTTTTTTTGTGTTTTTCTTTAGTTCATTTTTATTTTTTATTTAATAATATAATTTTTTATAAAGATAATTAAATATTTTGTTAGAACTCAATGATTATTCTAATTATATTTTAGATTTTTAATATTTAAAATGAAATATTTATTATCTATTTTATTATGTTTACCCGCAGTTAGTTATATAAATTCAAACATGAAACTTTAATAAGTTGTAATTATACACAATTTACTTATAATTTTAAATTTTAAATAATATATATTAATAAACATTATTTCATACATAAAAATAGTTTTTAAAAATTTTTGCTAAATATTTTATAATATAATATTCATTATTCTTAAAAATATGAAGTCAGTTTGTATAAAAACCTCATATGTTATATTTCTAAATGACCCATGTGGCTAGCCCACACGATATCTTGTATTCTTGTTCCCCAAGTCTTGGATTTATAATCATATTAATTTAATTATCTGTGTTTTTTAACGATCCCGATTTGCTATCTATTTTTGTCTAAGTTAATAGCATCTTTAATAAATTTTTTAATTTTTTTTATGAAATAGAAGTTAATAGCATCTTCTTTAAATTCTTATGCATAAAATACTTTTTATTGATGCATATTACTTAAAATTCAAGATTATAAGTAAATTATATATAAGTACAACTTACTAAACCTTCATTTCTAAATATGCGTAACTAGCTGCAAATAAACATAATTAAATACATGATAAACATCTTATTTTAAATATAAAAAATCTAAAATATAATTAGAATAATTATTGAGTTTTAACAAAAAACTTAATTATTAAACCTAAATCCAATTATAATAAAAATAACACTAAAAAAGAACTTATAAATAGTTAATTTTGGTATTAATATTGATATTTTTTTTCATATATTTATGATATCTTTAAATTTATATTTTATTTAAAAATAAAAATATTATCGTTATTCAAAACCACGCACATAAAACCGCACTATATTAACAGAGACAAAAAAATATATGAAACATTAAAATCAAGATATATCTTATTACATTATACGGGTAACTTTTTAGTTGATTGTAAAAATATGATAAGTTCCATTTGTAGCGTCCTCCGTGTCTATCTTTTAAAATTTTGATTTATTAAAAAACTTTATTATTATCAAATGCTAGTTCAGGGGCTATAAATATAAAAATAGAGTTTTATAGGCTAAAATTGCAAGTCTGTATAACCATAGGGACAAAATTGTAATTATTTCCCATCTTATTTTAATCAGCTCGAAGGAAACAGGAGTCCAATTGCCATTCCCAATCGGAGGAAAATGCCGCGCAACAAAGACGAGGCTGCAGCGGTTCGCGTGTATACTGTTTGTGATGAATCCAAGTTCGTATTCCGATTCTATCACTTGATTTTGCTGGAAAATAAGTTGAATTTGTTGTATGTTTGATGTGATCCCTAAACAACTCAATCGTTGATTCGAGTTAGGTATTTGATTGTGAGGAATGTTCCGGCATTAGGTTGTGGTGATGAACTGCGGAAATTGTTCGGAGGATACGGTGAAATTGATGAGTAAGTACTGTAGTTTCATCATAAAACGTTTATTGTTTGCTTCCTAAACAATGTTTGTATCTTAAGGATTCATTGAATGATTTTCGTAATTGATCGGGGCCTGTTTGTGGATAAATTTTACATAGTGAAAGCGTGATATGATCATGTATTATATTCCTTAAAATTGTATCTCTTCCTTCGGAGGAGGATTTTTAAGGTGATGTTGTTTGGATGATTTGACAATTGACATTATATGTTTGTCTGAGAAGTCTTTTTGGGCATGACTTCAATTTTCAATGTTGTGTTTATTGTTTTTGTGGGTTTAATTTTTTTTTCTCCTTTGTAGATTTATACCACTGGATGATGAGGATTGTGAGCCATTTACTGATGTTTATTGGATCAAGTTTCATCAGGTCAACAATGCTAGGTGATATAAACAATTCATTTTCTTTATATTATTAAATACTGCAATATTTGAGTAGGGCTGTGCCCCCTCTGAAATTGATATTTTACTAGTGGAACATTATAATGTATACTTGTATAGCCCCCTCTCCATTTTAGAAGCACAAAGCTACACATGTCTAGTATCCATTTGGTTTGGCCCCTTGTTGAAAACTTGCTTTGTCCTTGGTTGTATATGCATTCACAATCACCCTCATTAGCTAGTTGAACTTATGTGCACGGCAAGATTCTATGTTTTGAAACCTTCATCCTGCAGGTTTGCAAAAAGGAAGTTGGACGAATCAGTTTTCATTGGAAATCGGCTTCAAGTCTCATATGCACCACAATATGAGAGCCTTAGTGACACCAAGGAGAAGTTGGAAGGCAGAAGATTGGAAGTTCTAGCTAGACTTAACCGTAAGTCATCAAGCATCATCCTATATTGATGTAAAGCATGCTTTTTAGATGAAAATCATGCAACCAAGATTTGTCTTTGGTGTTTCAGCCGGAAGATCCAAAAGTTCTACAGTGCCCAGTGCAGTTTCTTCTAGCCACTCTATATTACTTACAACTCCGTCTCAGACCAATTTCATATCCCAGCCATCAAATATTCAACAGAGGTTTAGATCTAATTTATATTGTTTTATCCCGGATATCGGACCACAAGACTTGTAGCCTAATCTGGATTGCATGTTCTTATTTCAGCGACCCACTAGAGCCACAGCCCCAACATTTTACTTCAACGGTTTCTTCTAATCAGGTTCAAACCAGATTATATCATTGCATTTTTTTCATCTATGAGGGCCTTGTGGGAGTGTAGGACGAGTCAAACCTGAGACCAAGCCACTAAATCTGAGCCCGGGTTGCCACTAGACGATCCCTCGAGGCTGCATTCTTTATATTTATTTGGTCCTATGAAAATAAAGACGCAGAAATTCTGAATTTCTTTGGCATTTATATCTAGTTAAAGGTGGGAGCCAAATATGCAATGCTAAGGGTTTGTTGAAACTATAAGGCTTCAAATGTAGGATTCATTCATGTATGTCTGTGTTTAACTATGTATACTAACTCAAACATTCCTTGTTAATTATGATATCAGGATTATTTTCCATCAGAGTCGATGAATCAGACAGTTCGGTTGGTCAGGGAAAAACTTAACAAGGTGCAAAGCACTAGTTAACTATTTTTCTTCCATTATACTAGATGGACTTCTAGTCTTCTATAGTGTTCTTTTTTCCTCTGTTTTAGATCGAGTCGGATGCAGAGACTTTGAAAGCGGGGTCTTCTAAGAGAGCACGAACTGACAATAGAAGAAGAATCTAATAGCCATTAGCTCATTTGTTGAACTTCTTTTGGGATGCCAATCTAGAGGTTCACATCCTATTTTTCTCAGAAGTTAGCTTCAACCGACCATGATGTGCCTACTATTATCAGGTTGCTATTGTTGTAAATATTTAGTAGATTGGTGATTCCTTCTTTTCTGAACTTGAAGCTGGGCATGCTTTTGACGAGACTGCAGTGCTTGTGTAAAGCATTTAATGGGGATTACGGAGACGCTGCAATGGGAAGCTCCGATAAGCCGGTTTAAAATGGTTGAACTTAGTTTCATTTGGTAAAAGATTTAGTTTTTCGTCAGAGATCTCTTGTGTAGCCATTATCAAAGAAGATGAAGTTATACTTGCAAAAGTCAAACAATTGATGGAGATTTGAAGTGGTTCCCCATATTTGAATTCATTGTTTGTCTTAAGGTTCAAGTTGAAATAGGTTAAGAAGATAAGAGGCAAAAGACCACTTAAGGGGATATGCTAGTTTTTTTTCATGGGCTGCAGCCTCAACAGGTATTTGGTGTATTTTCAACTCCATGATTGAGTTAGCACATTATCTATTGAGTTTGGAACTTCTGTTTTGAGCAGTTCTGTTCACTGTATCTACAGGAATCCATGGCATTAGCTGTTGTCATGATTACAGCCGACTCATTGAAAGGCATATCAAAGTAGCTCCATGCTGTAGCATACTTGAAGGAAAAATATCAATCTCGAAAGAGGTACATGAACCCCTTTGGTCCTTGGTTTATATGCATCTGGATTTGCATATAATAGCCTAGTAGCAAGGATTAAATAGTTCAACCTGGTTAGATTGGATATCTATTTTATTTGAATGGTTTTCTTGGTTATATCTAGTTCATATGAGCATATAACTTTAGTTATCATTAACTTGCTTCAATTGTTCGAATATATTCACCTTTAGGAGAATTTCTAGTCATACAAGCAACAAAACTTGCTCTAATTAATCATATCTTAAACCAAACTTTTTTTTACTATTAGCTTGCTTCAATGGTTTCCTTGGACCAAACTTTTTTTTTATCATGCTGTGTAAATTCATTCAAGTAATTTGCTCATATTAGATCATCTTTAGGGCGCGTTTGGTATGCGGGACAGGACAAGACAAGACAAAACAAAAATCTGTTGCCTCACGTTTGGTGCGACAATAGACCGGGAAATGCATCTTTTGTCCAACCAAAATAGGTGGAACGAAACCCGGGAATTGACAAGATTTGTAAATTACTAAACTACCCATATCAAATTAAAACCCTAAAACCTTTCACAATTATTTCACCAGCCTATCTTACTCTCACCGGTTTGGTCTTGTCTGCATACCAAATGCACCCTTGATGTTGGTGTGTATAGGTTTCTTCCTTTGAATGGAATAATGGATTGGGGAGAGACGTGCAACCTCTACCTTGTATTACTTTTGTAAAGAAACTATATTGCTAGAGTATGTGAGCTTAATTAGTCAATCACTCCACCTTAGCTTGGATTAGGGGGGGAATAAGTAATGGTCTGTTTGGTTGGTTTTCCATTAAGTCTTGTATGGATAAAGTTGTCTCTGTGGATTAATCTATCTGTATAGATTGGAAATGTTTTCGTTTGGGAGGAATTTTCCATAGATGGAAAGAGCTTGTTTTTTAATTGGGAGGGGCTAGTTTGGAAAAAGTTGGCTCTCTGCATAAACTTCCCCCTAGGAGCTTACTGAATAAGGCACTTTCTATATCATTAAGCCACTACCAAACAATCATGTATAGCTGAACGAATAAGCTATGAGTCCCATTAAGCTCATTAAGCTGCTAAAAAACAGGCCCTAAGCCTGAGTACAGAGAAAAAGGACAACTTGAAGTTAAACCTTAATAAATTGAAGATATTAAGTCCACAACCACTTCATAGCTAATCCTATAATTCATAAGGAGTAATACATGCAATAACAACCACCATTAAAGAACATCTATTCAGCCAAACTTTAGCCAAATGTATCTTACAACAAGGTGCTACATCAGTAATGCTGTGGTCCATTACCAGATTTGAAATTCATCTCATGATCTTGATTAGCTGCAAACCTCACCTGATCATCTCTAAACTCACCCTTACGAAATGAGTTAGGCCTTCCCATAGACGGTTCCCGGAATGAGTCAGGCCTTCCCATAGATGGTTCTCGGAACGATTCAGGCCTTCCCATAGACGGTTCCTTGAACGAATTAGGCCGCCCCATATTTGGTTCACGGAATGAGTTAGGCCTCCCCATGGCGGGTTCTCCATTAGCAGCCACTTTAGCACTCGAAAACCTTTTATCAAACCCAAACTCAATATCCCCATCTTTAGTCTGGAATGCATTACGGTTATGCTTCATATCTTTCTCTTTAGGTGGGCGATTAGCATGACCACCCTGCTTAGACGGTTTGAACTTGCTATGACGCTTACTACACAGCCGCCCAAGAAAGCAAGCAACGGCTGATATCACCACTATGACCGCCAGAACTATGAAAACCGCTCCGAACGAGCCATCTGACTGGCGGTGGGCTGGCGGATTGGTTTCGGAAACAGGGTAAATTAGAGGTGTCTGTTGTGCATCTTGTTGGGACATCTTTGCAGGCCAAGAAATGGTTAGAAGAGATGGAAGTATAGAGAGAGTTTGCCTGTAAAATGGAGGTTTGGTTTAGAGGAGTTGTTTGAGTGTGGGCAAAGTTAGAATAAGAATAGAGGGTTAGAAGGAAGAACAATAAGAATAAGATGATGGGAGGTGGGGGTATTTGATGAGTGGTGGGGTGGGTTATTTGGGTTTTGAATTCAAAAGAAAAGAGTATTACTTTGCTTTAATAAAGAGACAGCTAAGTAAAGAAAAATATTCTGAGTTCTTTACTGCCTTAGAAGTGAGTGGCGGTGGTGTCTAATTTCTTCTTTTTTTGCTTTGTTAGGAGAGAAAGCAAATTTTTGGCTCCTTTGAACATTATCTGTAGGTAAGGCCCCATGCAACTGCAGACTTAGTTCTTTCATTACCCCTGTTGCCATAAATATTTTGAGCATCTGCTTCGTGAACCATATAAGGTCGTGTATTTTTTATGAGTTCGGGTGGGAAAACCAAAAATCCAATTGGATTTCGGATATGGAAACCAAGCCCTGAATTTTGGGTTGGTTGGGTTTCGTGTTGAAGTTGGCTGGGTTCGATATAGTTATGATATAAAAAATCTATGTTCAGTCGATTTTGAGGATGAATTTAATCTACCAAGAGCGAGAGAATTGATGAAACCAATAGTAGAAGAATTTAGAAAACAGTACGAGGGGCTAGGATTTAGGATTTTCAAAAGATAATTAGATAAATAACATATTTATAAAAAAAAATTAAGTTAAGATACATATGTATATATTTTGGGTTCTCAGACGGGTCGGGTGGCCAAAAATCAAACTCAACCTGAACCCAGATATCCCTCCAAAGATCGGGTTTCGAGATTTTGGGTGATCGGGTTTTGCACAAACGCCTTATCTTCGATTCGGGTTCGGTTTTTTGGATTTGGGTTTTGCTTTTGCACGCCCCGAGTTTCATATATTATTCTTAATAAATAACTCCGAATAACATGAAGGGGCCAGTTCAAATAAAAATGTTAAATATCATTAAAAAGTAAAAAGAGAAGGTTCATATGTGAGTTATTGCAAAGATCCGAGAAAATGTATTTGAAATTACATATATGATCTAATGTTACAGATTATTCATATAGGTTCATATATGCATCATCAAATAAAAAAAAAATCAATGATTCACATATGAACCTTCTCTTTTTTACTTTATAATGATATTTAACCTTCTTGTTTGAACCTTCCATTAATCATGAATATATGTATTTTTATCATAAATACTCATCATGACATTTATATCATGAATAGTTGGTTGGTTTGTGATGATGTTAAAATATTGAATGTTATAATTAGAACATGCCCCCACTATTATAGATGCATATTGTACCTTGTGTTACTTTAAATCCATTATTTTCTGTCTCTACAAACATATATATGTTGGTTTGTCTTCAGATTAAATGCATCAACTAACATTATATTGGTACCCATAGCATTTGATTCTTCATTGCACATGTTATCATGCCATTTATTACATATTTTTAAAGAAAATTCTCTCTTTACTTTTGGTTCCATTTACTCTCTCTGGTTTATATATTATATATGTCTTTTTTTTTTTAAGTATATAATATTTATATACGACAAGTGCAACAAATAAACTCACACCCCTTTTTTATCTTTGGTGAAGTTTGAACCTCTAACCTCCTAGGAGGTCAAAGACTACGATATCGTTAGGCCAAAGACTCTTTAGTCTTTCTTTTTATCTTATGATCTTGCAAACATGTAATTGGTACATTTTAGTATGTTTTTATGAGTTCAAGTCAAGTATGATTGTTTTCCATTATATTAAAATTTGTGTTTTTCTTTACTTATATTTCAAAGGGCAAATTGCATGAAAAAATAACGTACTTTAACTTGATTCCTATTTTGGATAATGTATTTTCAAAACTTTTATTTTGGTACCTAGATATAAAGTAATAAATATTTAAGCCACTCGTTTCGCGGATAGTCTGGAGTCGCCACGTTTGAACCTCTGTGATCAGAAGGTGATTTTTATTCATTCTTGGATTCAAACCTGAGACCTCAAAACACTTTTGATCTTTGGAGCCTAAGTTCAAACCAATCGTGCACTACCTTTGTGGTTGTAAATTATGTTTTTTGTTTCTATTGTTTGTTAAAAATTGCAATGTTAGTCCTTGTGGTTTTGAAATTGTTGTTTTTGTTCCTATGGTTCATAATCCATTGTTATTCTCATCTTTGATTCTAATTCCTATCTTTATGTAGGAGGGAAAACAACAACAAATTGTAGACGATCATAACGACAGAAGAAAAATGTAAACTGTAGGAATGTTAAATCGTAATTTTTAAAATCACAAGGACTAAAATAGCAATTTTAAAAAAATCATAGGGACTAAAAACGTAATTTACTTAAAGAATAATTGGGTCGATATCATGTGACAAGAGTATGAAAACAAAAAATGGATATGTGTAAGGGGACAAAAGAGTCAAATCAAGTTTTCTGGGACGAAGCCAAAGTTGAATCGGAGAAGTGAGATTGGTTGGAAATGCGATAAAAGTAAAGAGAGCAAAAAAAAAAGCAAAACCCATGTCGGAGTATGAATCCATATGCAGATATTATTTCCGATCGCGAGATCTCCCCACTTTTTTTTGTTCTTTGCTTTTTCATCATGGTTTTGTCCGATCTTTCGTTCGCTAGATCAGTTTGTGTACATTTCAACTAATTTTAAAAGTCTTAGAGAACAATCAGGAAAATCCCAAATGACCTTACAGGATTCGAACTGGTGACTTATTAGCAGGGACGGACCCATATATTTCTTCAAATGGTGGCACCATTTGGCTATAAAAAAAAATATTGGGAAAAATTTTCAAACGGTGGCACCCTTTGATTATAAGAGACAAATATACTGACTTTTATTTAAACAATGACACCATTTGACTAAGAAAATGACACTAATAGGATTTGAACTTGGGTCTGGGATGGAATAAAAGTCTTACAAACCAACTCTACCAAATAAAATTTGTTCTCTCAAAATATATAAGAAGACACACAACAAATTAATATAGTTGCACCTTTCAAGAACTTAAATTTTTTTACCCTTCGACGGATGAATAATACAGTGACACGTGTCACCGTATGCACCACCATAGATCTGTCCCTGTTTATTAGGAGAAACCTCAAAGATGCAAGCCTTATCTCCCTTATTGTCATCATAACTGCAACTTGTTCTTTTTTTTTTTTTTTGATGATGTTTGTACATAATAAATTAGATCAAACAAATTTAGTATATCTCATTTAAAAAAACCTGTAGGATAAGATGTATGTAGGTTCAACGTCTGTTCTAAAAAGATAGAGAACTATTAATGAGAAGATCTTTGGTTTATGTCGTTTTTATTTCAATCAATATATTTTTTTATTTATTTTAGGTAGCATATATTTTTAAAATGTTAAAAGTTATAAAGAGATTTGCTATTATGCATAAGAGCATCTCCAGCTCGTCTAGTCATTAAGATTGTGTTTGGCAAAATAGCTGATAAGTTAACTGATAGTTGATAAGTTAGTTGATTGGTTTATTATATAAATAAACAATTAGTAATAATCAGGGGTATAATTGGAAAAAGGTGGCAAAAACTCACAGAGCTTATTGAAACATTATTCCAAGTAGCATTCCAATAACCTAGCTTATAAACTATTTTTTAAATGGATTTTTGGTATGAAGACCGCCATTTCATCACAGCTGTTTTGGCCGGTGTTGCTATCATATGGCGGTCTCGTGTTCATTTCTAACAACTTCCATGTGCTAGGTTTTTGGTGTTCGGTTTTAAGTGTGTGGTTGGAATAGAAAAGGTTTTGGTATCTATAAACTCACCTTTTTCAGTTTTTTTTTAAAGGCATGGAATAGAGATAGTCCAAATAGCCCTTGTAGATAGTTATAAAAAGATGTGTATATATGTTCCTATAAGTAGGCAAATATTCTCTATTAGTGATGGCCTTCCCTGTAGACAATGAGTTTCCATGCTTATTGTGTAGACACATGGGCAAAAGAATATTGTCTAATTATATCACAGGGAAAATTGTATGAAAAAATAACGTACTTTAATTTGATTTATATTTTGGGTAATATACTTTGAAAACTTCCATTTTGGTACCTAAGATGTAAAGTTTTAAACATTTAAGTACCCGGATAACTGGTTGAAACATTAACAGGTTATTATGCTGATGTGGCGAGTGATGTGGTATCCAACTCAGTATTATTTGTTGAAGCATTAATCGGATACCACATCACTCGTCACATCAACATGGTAACCGGTTAATGCTTTAACCGGTTACCCAGGTACTTAAATGTTTCAAATTTTACATCTTAGGTACCAAAATGGAAGTTTTGAAAGTATGTCACCTAAAATATGAATCAAGTTAAAGTACGTTACTTTTTTCATGTAATTTGTCATATATCAAAATATGTAGAACATTTTTTAAACTATCCACACAATCTATTAATGTATATAAAATAAGTTATCTAAAATAAAATTAAAATTAAAATATGTTCCATGTTCTTGAAAAGGAAAAAAAAAAGGGTTTTCTAACCCCACCCCCTCCTACACTCTTCCCCCTATATTTTCTATACCCCCTCTTATATATTATTTTTCACTTTTAACCTTTTGATATTTTCAGTTTTGACCCTTCAACTTTTATAATATTTTGTTATTATATTTTTTATGTTTTTAATTTTTAATATAGATTATAAATATATAAATTAATTAACTTTATATTATTATTAATTAATAAAGTATTAATATTCTTTTAATAATTATATAAATTAATTAAA